CTTAATATTTGGAGTTCACATTGAATCTCTCTGTCTCCCCGGTGGGTGTTTCCCTTAAACAGCAAGTCTAAGTGGGACAAAACCTTTAGTCTCTGACGTAAGTGCAGAGGAACGGAGCTGATGCCATCTATTGATTAGTTCCACATTCCTGTTATTTGGAGGCTCAGGACACAGTGTACTTCTCAAAGAAGTAAATGTTGAGGATGAATCTTCTATATGTTCCTCATCTGTGCACATGTGCAATGCCTGTTGTGGGTGGGGGGTGAAAATAGAGTGGTTCTTACAGCTCACAAAAGTGAAATCTGTTCAGGGACTGCTTTATGAGAGTTTGATCCAAAGATCGACTGGAAAAAGCTGCAGTGTGGATACTTATTAGAAGCACATGTCCTGTTTAAAAGTCAGTACATTGCCTGCTACAACTCAAAGTTTTACTTGGTATTTCCTTAGTAATCTCAGATACCCTGACTCAGGGTCCCTGAGACCTCAGTTGTTTCAGAATTACAACAATGCAGAACTGGTATGTTGGGTGTACAGCTAAGCTTCAACACATTTCACATTTTTTTTCTTTACCTGTGATCAAAGTTGGGGAGAAAAGCTCATAGTGCTATGTTGCTCACTGGCACCATCCAGTGGCTACAATTAAAAAAATGGCACAGGTCATGTGAGTCATACGTTTCTGGGTGACTGACTCACGCTTGGATTACGAGTTCATGGCATTCATCTGGCTGGGCTTTCTATAGTTTCCCTTTGTTAGATCATTAAGAGCATGAATTTCTTATAAATGGCTGTGACGTCTGCTTTGTGGATGAACTGGTAGAAAACATCTTGTTTTAAACCTCCCGACTGGAGGCTGGCCACACATGACGCAAATGATCACTTACCTGCAGCTGATCAAGCCTCATCGGGGAGCTCTTTAACAGTGTGGCTGAGCGCTCCTCGGGGTGTTTAGGATTTCCAAATCTTCTGTGAAGAAGGGGAAGAAGCGTGGGGCTTTTTCCTGGCTGAGGTTCAGATAACTGTTGATGCTACACAAGGGGCTTCAAGGCATGAGAACCCCTGGCTGCACTGGGACGGGACTCACTGAAGTCTGGGAAATAAACATCCAGAAACAACACATCCACACCCTGACTTAAATTTACATTCCTTATAGTAATATGGTTATTTCCTGCGTTTGGTCAAATAAAATACAGGTGTCATGTATTTTTACTCTTCCATTTTCCACACCTGGGAAGTAATATATCAAGCCTTGAGGAGCCTTAAAGTTGCTTCTCTCAACAGAGCCACACAGTGGCCAAACCCTTACACTGTTACAATACAACTATGCCAATACTTTCAAATATTATGTTATAATAATCATTTACAAACTTCTATACTGTTCAAACAATAATATGAAATGGGGTTTTTTTTATTTTATGGACAGTGATGTTTGTGGATTATTTTCTGTTTCTTTTATCATTATTATATTTCTTTATAATATTCATTTTTGTTCTCTATCTTGTATTTGCTTTGATTTTTTTCTGTGCTAATTTCTTTTCTTTTCTTTCTTTCTTTCTTTTTTTTCTTTTCTTTTTTTTTAAACAAACAAACAACAAAAAAACACAAAACTATGTTTATTGTAAATAATGCCTGAAGGACTGTGTGTTCCAGAAGTGGAGCAGACGGTCTGTTCCACTTCTGGTGGCATCTGAAACTAAATCACTAAAGAAAATAGAATAGTTATTACATGGAAACAGAATTGATTCCTATTAAAATACAGCAGACATTGGTGTATACGAACTGTTTTAATATTAAAATAGTAAAAACAACAACTCTACTTAGATTAGTAAGTCTACAGATCAGAAATAAGGCTTTTCAGTTTAATGCACTGCCAGACTATAATGTATTAAACTGCGACCCCTAATGGCCTGAAAATGTAACGACCTCTCTGCGCGTTGTCCTGTTCTGCCGTAAAAATGACCACATTCTGACTCCTTCACTGGCTTTCAGTTAGCAAAAACGAAAAACACACGAAGTCTTAAAAACGGAAGGCTATGTTTTTGTCGTGTTTCTGAAAGCATCAGTGCTAACAGTTAAATAAAGTGAACTGTGATGAAAGTACACATCCACTATAATCACACTGGAAAAACACCTGTCAGACTGCTTTAAATCAGGCTGTACTATAGTTTATTAGAAATAAAGTTTTTAGTTAAAAACAGGCTTTATCATGCGCGTGTCTGCTGGTAAACCACAGCACAGTTTCAATTGACTAAAGCCTCTGACAGGCGTTCCTCAACATTTGCAATTCAAATAAAGCTTTTGTCAAGATATGCTTCTGCTGTATTGGGCAGCTAAACGTAGTCATCTTTAGATATGTTTTTTTGACAGTCTGGCATAAACTATCAGTCCTAAAAAAAGACAACCTCCTGATTACAGACTGATAACTGTCACTCAACAGATACTAGAGATGCTCGCTGAAATGGATTTCAAGTTAAGTGATTTCCATGAAAATGATCTCAGTGGAGCACACTGGCCTGCTCATTTGTATGATGTGGAGAAAGTGGCACTGCCTACAGAAGATCTTCCTTTGAGAATAGTGGGCTTTAAAGACAAAATGTTCATTCTACTAAAAACAAAAAGAAAGGAAAAGGAAACAGTAGATGCAAATGTGTGTCACACGTTTCCTATTAGCAACCTGTGCCACTGACAGTAAACAAGTATGCTGCATTTCCATGATGGTGATATGTGTTTTGCATTTGCACATTTAACTATCTCTATTGTGTTTAACTCTCTCTATTCTTTTCTTTTGTAAAGTCATGTAATCTCAGTAGCACCTTGAGAAACAAAGGAAACATCCAAAATCAAGGAATAAAACAATGCTGACCTCTCTCATCATTTGACCACAAACCATGAAACTGAAAATCTGGTATTTGTGTTTATTCTACTTATTTATTTATATTATATAGCAGAGATAATACAAAACACACATATACTGTACCAGACATAGCTAAAAGGTCATTTCAAACCGTCGCTCCTGGATGGAAAGAATTTATTGTTAATACTAAGCCATAACACCTTTAGTTCCATCTCCTTTTGTTAGGTTTCTTCCTATCAGGAGGATCAAGCTTTCCAGCCTTAGAGTTTCAGGAGTTACACCTCATGCTTTTGTTATGTGTTGAACCAGTCAGACCTGAACAGATCGGGGGGGGGGGGGGGGTCCATTGTGTTTCCTTTCATGAACGATGTAGAACTAGCCCAAAGTCAGTAAGGCCACAGAAACATTTACGTGTAGAAGGAGGCATGAACAGTGACTGGGTCACAACAGTATGGAACAGTATAACTATACAACATTTACAGCATTCATTTTTTCCCTGGTGTTTTTTTTCCGCAATCCCTATCTGCAAAGAAAATCAGAATTGCATGTGCTGGTGTGACATGACATCGTTGATTGGGGCAAGAATCCAGCAGGGTGTAAAGCATAGGTTGAGGAAACTGAAATAACCTAAAACAATTTTTTTTATTGTAAGGTCAATAGATTAAGAGTATACCAGATAGGCAGTTGACTGAAACACAAATATAATTCACTACTGCAACACAACCGGTATAAAGTGTTGTAATGTGGTCCTCGATTTGTTACCAGGCTGTTTTTAGTTTGTTACATTTATCAATGGAAACAATGCTAACCAGCTTAGCTGATAACAAAAAAAGCTATAAATAATGCAAAAAAGAAACAGTTTGTATATTATATACAGAACTGATCACCTTTATGTTTTCAGACTTACAGTCAGCCAAAAAATAAATAATAACAAATATTTGTGACCGAGATCAATCTAATCTCAACTTTCTTTCGTTAGTATTGACCAGTGACCCACATGTTTGGTGTTTCTACAGGTCAGACTGCAGAACTTCCCAGGTGGTTGTAGCTAATATGGTAAACATGGAGGGTTGTGACATGCCGAAGGTAACACACTTAACAAATACTCCTACTTTGAAATCCCAGGCCTCGCCCAGGGAGGGTGTGCCATCACAGTTCCCAGCTACTTCCACTGGGAGATGATGTGACAGCAACAAAAGGCAGCTTTATAGCGTGGGTGGATTCTTAAAGGTTCAGTTTAGAATGGGACATTTCAAATGATGTACAGTCCTTATTCTAGCTTACATCACAGATTAATAGGGTGCTCTCCAAACCACCCAAAATAACTTCCCTCATCACCTGAATGTAACCAGAGTGCCATGCCTCCTTTAGCATCCCTAACCTTGATTCCACCCCAAATAGATTTGTTTTTTCAATTTAGGGGCAGAACGCTTACTCGAATGAGAAGTAAAAAGGGAGAAAAAAGGAGAGCAAAAAACAAACAGTCCCAGTCACTCTTATTTCACTCAATGGCTTTAGTACCTACATACAACAGTCTAATTTCATACACCACGTAATAAGCAAATATCTAATTCCAAAGTCTTTGCAGTGAAAGCAGTACCCTTCTATAAAACATTCGCTATCATTTACCAATCAAATGGGCTCTGATCTACATTTCCTTCTCATGTTACGGAGCTATACGCAGGATCATGATTCGCTGAGCAGGACGTCGCGCTCTCCCCCAGTTGGTTGGATTGTACACGTCAGCAGTCAACAAGTTGAACCCAACATGTATCACAGTCCTATCATCCTCTTCCTGGTAGTATCGTGTTGACACAGTACAACTACTTCGGGTAAGTAAAACAAGCTAACAACGGACAGTTAACTTCCCTTTTTCTTAACCGCTAAATGTACACGTAAGTTTTATGAAGTTGGTCAAACCGCTTGCTTCTACTTTTCCACACACAGGTGTTAAAAACAAGCGGCAGGAGCGACTGTGTAACAAATGACACGGCTCTCCTCTGGAAAGCCCTCGACATCTTTTTTAGAGCAACCGTCAGGAAGCGTTTGACACACGGTTCAAGAACTGTCACGCGACAATGGAGCGTTCATGAGGAGGAGCGCGAGGACGCAATGTTGCAGGGAAGTTTGTGGCGAAGAGGCGCGCGACAAGGTGAATGAACGCCACTGCTATTTAACTCCGGAGTGTGTTTTTACTTAAAGAAAATGAGGTTTCGGCTGCTCAAGAGGAATCTGCTCGCGCTTCTCGGCATTTCATTCGTAGTTGTTACTCTTTTGTTTTCAACACGCGTGTTATTAGTTTCTGATGACACAAGCGGACCCGGTAACACCGTAAAAAAGAACCCGGGCGTGAGCTCTAGTGACCCGGTAAAGTTGAACTTCAGGTCGCTGTCAGAGCTAACTCAGTCCGTTTACAGTGCCAACTTAAAGCAGTCTGTTTACAATGCAGACAGATTTCCAGGGGACCCTCGGCTGGTGCTGGTTGTGCAAGTCCACAACAGACCAGAATACCTCAGCCTGCTTATCAAATCTTTGGCCAAAGCTGCTGAGGTCCACAGCTTCCTCCTCATCTTTAGCCATGACTATTTTTCAGAGGAAATCAACACAATTGTTCAAGGGATAACTTTCTGCAAGGTACTGCAGATTTATTTCCCCTTCAGCACTCAGCTGTATCCCAGAGAGTTTCCTGGGCAGGATCCACGAGACTGCCCCCGAGACATATCCAAGGACAGGGCTCTGGAAACAGAATGCCTCAATGCAGAACACCCCGACTCCTACGGTCATTACAGAGAAGCCTTCATCACTCAAACCAAACACCACTGGTGGTGGAAGCTGCACTTCGTGTGGGAGCGAGTGCAGGCGATGCAGGGCTACAGTGGCTATGCAGTATTTCTAGAGGAAGACAACTACATCTTACCAGACTTTTTCCATTTTTATAAATCAATGATCGAGTTCAGAAAAAACAACTGCCCAGACTGTGACTTGCTGGCTTTGGGTAACCATAATGGCCTGGATGGTTTCACCGCACTATCCAACAAGGTGTTGACCACAGGCTGGATGTCCACCAAACACAACATAGGCATGGCCATCTCCAGGGAGGTGTACTACAAGCTGATGGGGTGCAACAATGAATTCTGCACGTACGACGACTACAACTGGGACTGGACTTTGCAGCACATCTCTGGAACCTGCATATCGAAGCCCCTCAAAGTGGCGGCAGCACTGGGCTCCAGGGTTCTTCACACAGGAGACTGTGGACTTCACCAGAAGGAGAACTGCAGACCAGAGTGGGCCGCGCAGAAGGTTGACGAAGGACTTCAGAAAGCTAAGGCCGGCCTCTTTCCTCCATCACTTGTCCTCGATGGTGCAGAACCGGTGGCGCACAAAGCGCACATGAAGAACGGAGGATGGGGAGACATTCGCGATCACATCCTATGTAATAACTACGCCAAACGACTCTGAACTGCGACTTTTTAACATTCTACAGGTGTGCCATCTGAAAAAGACTTTTTCAGGCTTTTTAGGGGCTGCATTGGGTTGTCTTCGCTTTCAGTGTTTTGTTTTTGTTTGTTTTCTTTTTAAATGATCACCCCCCAAAATTGGACCAAATCACATCTAAACATACTGCATTGTTCAGCACAGTAAAGACAATATTTTTTTTCTTAAATTACCAAAGATGTATGGGTGCCAACACCTTTTGTTGAAATTTGTTCTGTATGCTGCCTGCAAGCTCAGTTCAACTGAATGTCAGCAGCTCTCTGGGTTTCCTACAAGCCACAAAATTAGACTATATATATATTGCACTTTGTTGTAAACTGAGAGTAAACCATATCCAGAGTGTGCACATACGCACTGTCATTTCTGAATTTATTTGCGAATTCTGTAACTTGGAGCACTGCACTCATTTATTTACATTTACATTTCAGTTTGTTGCAACATGATTTTTACACTGTTATTATCAAACGTTTGAAATTAAATGTTTTTACTCATGTGCGTCTTTGGTACGTTTTAAAGTAAAGACGCGTATAATTCAGACTTACAGCTTTAATCAAAGTGTGAAAGACAGTACATGAGGAACGTTGCAGCATCATCTTACAGCAGATGTTTGTAAGCTAGCTGTTGGAATGAATGACTTTGTAAATGGAATTTTCTTTGTAACATTCAGTGTCTGTCTGATATAAATGGGGATCTCTCTTTTGGGGTGAAAATGACAATTTAATCAGTTTCCAACTCCCTGACTTATTGATTCCCAGTTGTAAAAGCAGGAGGTGGCTTATTCTCTTTCTGATATGCAAAAGTGAACTATTTGGAAGCAGGATCAGGGTCTTGTAATGCTGTATTTCTACATTAGCACCTTTTTATTGTTGACAAAATGGACTAAATGATAATGTAATTATCTGTTATGGTTCTATAGAAAAAATCTTTTTCAAGTGCAAATGTTGGGTGAATAAAACTAGGTGTAATGATACATTTAGTGCCTTTAAGCTGACCTAATATGCCTTTTCTGCCTGGCCTTCTTTTAGAATAGATTTTAAAGCTGTATTGTTAACATTGTTTTTGACCAGAAATTCCAGTAATGCAGAATAACATTTGTTTTGATAGTTTATGGTCTTTGTCCATTCGATATTTAGGGAAAGTGAAATGTGAATGTTGCTTTTTACCAAAATGTTCAGTCTGTAGTTTGTAAAGAATATTTTTACACTGGCATTGTGTATACTATAGGTGTAATACCTGGTGTGATCTGGTTTTGGTGCACCTCTGTGTGCTCTCTAACAACTGAAATGAATGTGATAATGAAATGATTCCTACAGTACACACAAGTACTTTATACACAACACTTTATCTGGTGTATGTGTGTGTACCTGTTGTTTTGCTGATTCCTGACTTGCTGAGAATGAGACAAACTATTTTTTTTGTCATTGTTTTTATTATGTTGATATTAATGATCTAGCTCATTGCTCACTTTTGAAGGATGATGGGAAAATAAAATAAATGTTATCCCTTGTGACACTTTTCTTTTACACTTCTAAACATACTGCCATTAATGTATTCACTAAATAATGCTTCAGTTACAACCAGTTATTGTAATTGGTTCTTCCGGGAAACATTCCTAAGAATTTAGCGCTACATAGAAGTATGTCCTACTGGTCAGTGGGCATTTATACATATTGAATGTGTTTTTGTACTGGTCATCAAATAAAAATGGCAGCGTTTCAGACAATCAAAGATCAGTGTGTATGCCATGGGTGTCTGTTTTTGTTTGTTTGTTTTTTTAAAGGTTATTCTTGGGAAAGTGATGCTTTGCATATACTGGAAAGGTATTTCCAGGAAATTGTTGGAATATAATGTAACACCTTGAAACCATTAACAAGGCACCTCGGCAGATGAAATAACCCCAGGTGGAAGGTCACATCTTAAAAAGAAGCTTATTGTTGCATCTTTATAGCCTTTGTAGTGTCATGCTAAAAAGTGATTTTGGGGATTTGCCAAACAACGGATTGCTGTTATTTAAACTATTGTAATTCACAGATTCCTCTATAATTTGCATTATATACATCGTTTTGAGCCAGAAAGTATATTCTTGTCACAAGGTTATTTGTGGCTAGTCTGCTATTGCCAAATAACTTCATTTTGGCAATAAATTAAAAGCGGCATTGATATAAAATAGATTTTTCAAGAGAGATCTGGTCAAAAGGACATCAGAAATTCGACAAATATAACAGATATGTTAAGTGGCCAAAAAAAGACTTGATTAATTACGGTGTACAGCACAGGGGTCCAAACTGCAGAGTCATTCGGATACTTGCAAAGCAGGTTTTCTTAGTTTTAAATATAACCCACTTGTAAATCCAGGTGCCTGCAGCTTATTTACCAGCATTACACATTAAATCCGCACAGAAACATCGGCAGTCACTATTTTGGCTTATGATGGCTTTTTTGGGACGACACCGGCCACTCGGAACCCTCGACAAAACAGAAGCTCGTTGTCTGGGATGCATGTCAGGTGACTGAATCGGGCTTTGTCATTGGCTATTTACTATGCCGTATTTATTTCCGGAAGTAAGTTTTGTAGTCTGAGAGACTTTCCAATAAGGCTATTAAACGTCAGCTCTATAACAAGCTCCGACAGGTAACGGAACAGTTTCTATTGTATTTGAATATGTTCAGTTCACTTGTCTGTTTAGAAGGCAGCCGTAATGTCTTTTTAACGAATCCCGTACGTTTGGAACTGTACATAGTGTTAGCCGTTAGCGGCTGTTGTTAGAAGCTTACGTAATGCACTTTAGTCAAGAACAGACAAGAAAAATACTAAACGAAACGGTGTACACGGCATCTTAAAGTAATGTTAACGATTTATTGGTTTCTCACAGTAAGTTTGGTTAGTACTTAAAAGCGCTTTTTTTGGAGTGCTGACACAGATACTTGTAGCCACCGTGATGGTGAAATAACGCTAGCCAACGTCACAGATTTGTTAGCTAGCGCTGCTTGATATTTAAACAACTAAGGTTGTCATCCACGTAACTTGTGGCATTTTAGCGTGTCAGTCATCTAAATCGCCTTTATCTCAATTGTTAACTGTTTGTCACACTGTTCCTCTGTCTTGTAGGTGTGTATTCATTCACAGGATGGCACACTGGTTTCACAGAAACCCACTGAAGGCGACAGCTCCTGTGTCCTTTAACTTCTATGGGGTGGCAGGGAGCCCAGCAGCCAATAAGATATGCAAGTATGTCTTATCTCCACCTGATACACCGTGAGCAGGGATATCACAATGGACTGTGTTCGTCACCATGACCACAGTTGGTTAATAAACTGCTATGTATAGTTTCTTACCCTCTATCAATCCGGTTGTTCAGTCTGACGTCACTAGCCGTGTCTGGACCTAAAGTCCGCTGCAGGTCCATATATCAAACGATCACTATGGCATTACTGAGAGTTGAAAAACTGTCTTAAGTCTTTCATCTTTAATAAAATGATCAGCGTTCTGCTCTACCAGGTGTAACAATTGAGTTTAACATCCAGGCATCCATGAAAACGGAATTTATGACATTTAACGGAGTTAGAAGTTAGCAGGGAGTTAGCTCGCTAGCTTCTATCTAAATACAATATAGCTTGTCCTGACTGCGGGGTTTTGGAAACAAATTAAAACGTACAGCTCTGTTATCACTTCCAGCATAAATGAAGACAGAAAACTAAATAGCAGTGACGTTTGTAGGGTTACTGAAGTTTGGCTAGCTGGTATATAATGATGTGCTACGTGACCGCTAGCGACACAGCTATGTTAGCATAATATAAACAAGCTAACTTTTTTTCCACTCGATAAAAGTTAACGTGAGTGTTCTCGGTGGTCAGGAACAAATGTAATCGCATGGCAGGATGCTGTAAAAGGACCAAACTTCAGCCAGGAGAACAACTGAGATAATCCATCCACAATACGAGGTTAGTCATTCATATACTGCAGCATGGGCTGGGCTGTAGTTACATCCTAAGGTTTTAAAAACTGAGCTTAAATAAATGATTAGTGGTAATAAAAGCCGAGGGAGGTCAACAGGGATCACTGACTGTTTTAGGAGCTTTTTGAGATTAAATAGAAGAAAATACAAAACATTAAACATGTTAACAACACACAAGCCATATTAAACTCAGACTACTTTAGGCCCGGAAGTAGGATTCGTCGCGTCATCACTGAACAATCGGATAGCATTTGACCATTACTATGCTACTGGTACCATTATTTGATCACCTAATCTCAGTCGCCTCACTGCTAAACAACAATGGCAATGATTTGTTCAAATGTCAATCAATTTTCCTGTAGACTCCTGGTGGAGCATAGGGCCGTTTCTGTAGCATGATTGTTTTATTTATTTTTTTAGAGGGTGGGGTTGCTAGCCCATGCTCAACCCTCCTCCTTTCTCATCCTGGACTTGGGACCAGGCAATGGTGGAGTTTTGTTCAAATTTAGTCTCACTGAATATGGCTGTCCACAAAGCAACAGTACTATTTGTGATATGTTCAGTGACCTGAGGACAACCAGAGCGAGGCTGCTGGAGATGTTCACTGATATCACCTGCAATCCTGAGATCATGAAGAATGCCACAGATGCATACTTCTCCCTTCTTCAAGGTTTGTTCACCAGCATTTCAGGGTATCTTTTTATCTTTTTCCAAGATAACTTTAGATACAGATAGGATATCAAAGTTATGGCCTAGGGGCCACAGCTCTGGCTATAAACAAATTTTAATTTGGTCTCCATAACAGTTTAGGTTCTCTATACATTCTTGCCTGCTTAGCTTCATCTGTAGTCTGTACAGAAATGCATACCCAGATCGCACCTGCAACTTTTTGGTGTAGACAGCAAAGTCGATAAAGGAAGACAGATTCAAGAGAGAAATAACTCCTTCCTTCCCATCTTAATGTTTGCCATGAAACAGTCTTGATTTTCAAAGACTTCAAAAACAACATTGTATTTGCATCTAACTGAGTGTGGCCCTTTGAAACTGGTGTCATCTCTGAATTTGGACATCCCTGTTTGTCAGTAGTGAGGACAAACTGAGACAGAACTCACTTTTTATATCCAGAGAAGATGGCTAATGTAAGGAGCTTGAACAGAAGGCGACTGGACTTCTATAAGATTTTTCAAGATATTCTTACCTCTCATTCAAGAGGCTTCTTCAGCTCCCTGATATTTAAAACCTAGTGGGGGATTTTCCTTTGGAGAGTCATTGACGCACTGTTAATATCGTGTGTTGTCATCATGAGCCAAGGTGTGAAAAAAGGTGTGCATCATTACCAGCAGAGGTTTCAGGTGAAACCATTGCCTCACCATGTGACTTATTGGGATGTAGGGGGGGGGGCTCGGAAGGGATCTGAAAACTACATTCTAGGTGGCTGACAGTTGGTGTCATAAGCCTCCTGTTCTGGACGTAGATGACCTCCTTTCACTCCTCTTTCAAATAATCTGTCTTCTCTGTCCAAAATGTGAACGCTGGCAT